GGGTCCCCTGTCTTCCCTGACAGTTCACCCCGCGATGCACTTGCTCGAGTAATCCGGGTCGCGGTGCATCGGGTCGCGACGATCCTTGGACATGTGTTCAGTGAGTTGTAGACGTTCCTTGAGAAGAGACTCAGGGCGCGAGCGCAGGACGTGGCTCGGTAATTCGAGCGCGCCGCCACGGTTGTCGCGCAACAGAGCAACCGCAGTTACTAACAAGCGTGCTTCCATTTAGCAGATCGCCTTTTCTAGCTGATACTGATGATGTGAAACTTCCGCTTCCAAGTTGGTCCTTTTGGGCCCATTTTGGGCGTCTTCCATGCTTCCTGAGTCCATCCCGCATGTCTGGGAAGCATATTAGAGGGCATCATGGGCATCCTGGAATCCGCAGCGGATGGATTCTGAGGCTCAGGGCAAGGGAGGTTATTCTGGCAGCTCGTGCACACCCCCCAGGGCCACCCCACACGGAGGACGAAGAGAAACGAACGTTGCAATTGCGTTTGTGGCACCTTCAGGCGATCGGAAGCGTGGATCAAGGGGGCGCGGATTAGCGACGGGCCTTGTTTCTTTTTGGGAATCGCGGATTTCTGCTGGCGAGCGAGGCGGCACCGGCCGCATTTTGGGGAGTGCACCTCCCCCGATCAATGGGTTTGGCGACCGCGCGCCAAATCCGTGGATCGCTAATCCATGTTTGCGCGCCCCCGAAATCTTGGTTGTGATACCTATGCGATGGCGCCGACACTGCTTTTATTTGCATGGGTGGTGACTGGGGGTCGAAAGTGGCCGTCACCTGCAGCGCGCGCTCCCCAACCGCCAATGCGGCCACCCAGGCCGAACTTGAACCATATGTCTCACGCGTTTGTTTACCCCTGGCAAGCTGGGGGTCGGTGGATGCTTGTGGCCAGTGCCACATGTTTGACAATGGCCCGCCCTCTATTCGTGTAAGTGCTCACGTCTTTGAATTCTTGCTATGGGCACAACTCGCGCTGTCGAGGAGGACCAAACAAAAACTGTTCATCCTCCGTTTCCTCTTCCTCCTCCTCCTCCTCCTCGTCCTCCTCCTCCTGCTCCTCTTCCTCCTCCTTCTCCTCCTCCTTCTCCTCCCCCTCCCTCGTCCTCCTCCTCCTCCTCCTTCTCCTCCTCCTCCTCCTTCTCCTCCTCCTCCACCTCCTCCTCCTCCTCCTCCTCTTCCTCCTCGTCCTCCCCCTCCTCCTCCGCCTCCTCACCCCCCCAATCGCGTCATTGCTGGAGGCGTTGACGCCAGGGGGGTCCTGGCGCCGCGGCGACAGAGCCCTCGTGGTGCGGGCGGCACGTTATCAGTCCCATGGTGACGGTTGGACGGTGCGGGTTTCGTGGCCACAAGGTGTAAGTCGGGCCTTTCTCTCTACAGGAGGAATATTCAAAAGTAGGCAACAAATAATCCGGGGACGGTTTTTCGATTATTTTCGGGCAGTTTGAGAAGGTGTTGCCTGCTTTACTTTGGGCCAAAGTCCGCCTGTAGAAGGACATGCTCGACCTAGACTCTTAAGATCAGAGGGGGACGACGGGGAGGAGGAGGACGAGGGGGGGAAAGGAAGAAAAACATTGACATAACAACTCGGAGGTCCGCGCGGATTTCTCGGATCGGCGCTGGGCCCCCTTGGCGGCGCCTCCGGTGTTGCCACTGGAGTGCTCCGCGTGCCATGGAGGGGGGTCCAGAGCCGATCCGAGAAATCCGCGCGGACCTCAGAGTTTTTATGCTCATGTCATTCATTGTTCCCCTGAGATCAGAGGAGGACGAGGAGGGGGGAGGAGGACGAGGGTTATGTTGCTCCCATCGTATTCAAAAGGGCCACATCCTAGAAATAATAACTTCGAGCGCCTGGAAAAGTGTCGAAGCAGCATCGGACGAGTGCCTCCCGGGGCCCGACGCGCGAAAACCTTAAAGTTTGGGCACTTTACTGGTGCTCGAAATTCTTGCTGGTGATCATGGCTAAAGTACACCTTAGGCGATGCTTAAGAAAACCCAAGTTTTCGGCCAGAGTCTCGATTATTCTGAATGTTTCGATGTAAATCCTAAGATTTGAATGGAAACGTTGGGTTTTTATTCAAATTCTGAGACTATGAATTTCTTAACCCATGATTTCTAAAGCATTTCGCAGGGTGTAGGTTGGAACATCATAAGACGGGGGGGGCAGGGCAGTACAGCAGGGGAGGGCGAGGCGGAGGAGGAGGAGGAGGAGGAGGAGGAGGAGGCGGAGAGGACGTGCTGGGGGGGAGGGCAGCACATCAGGGAGGGCCCGTGGAGACCACGGCCGTTGGCCTGGCCTGCAGGAGGGGGGGGGGGCCCTGACTGCCACGGCCGCAGGCAGCTCGGACATCTGGTGCGCTCGCGGTCCCGGAGGGGGTCCGGGGGCCGATGTCGACCTGCCGCTGTCTGTGGGTCGAGGTTATGCTGTTCCCATCGTACTTGCGGACCGCATTCCAGAAATAATTTCGAGCATCCAGGAAAGCATCGAGACAGTGTCGAACGAGTATTGCCTCCCAGGGCCCGACACGTGGAAACCCTCCAGTTTGGGTATTTTCTTGGTGCTCGAAATTCTTTCTGGTGATCAAGGCTAAAGTAGGTTGGGACATCACAAGGTCAGGGAAGGAAAAGGCACCCATGCCTCTACTCCCGCGTTGGGAAAACATCACGACGGACAGTTTTTCGCCATTCTAGACGCTTCGCGTAACCCCACCAGCAGGTCGCGGCCCTGCGCGCGTTAGGTAATTTAGTCGCGTCCGCGGCCCGTTCGCGACCTTCCGCCGCTGGCGCTTCCGCCTGCGGCTGTAAAAAAAAACAGCCTTCATACCGCCCTCTGGACTTCTCCTTGCGGGCCGCGAATCAAAAAAGTAACCCCACCAGCCCATCCAGAAACGATGCCCAGAGGAATTGCCTCGATCAGGGAAGTGGGCAGCACACAGAGGAAGGGTCCCCCAGTGGAGGCCTCTTGGAGCGTCTTGGGGGCCTCTTGGCGGTCCCGGACGCCTCTTAGAGCGTCTTGGGTGTTTTGGAGAGCTTCTTTAGACCTCTTGGGGGTCTCTTGCGAGCCTCTTGGAGGCCTCTTGGAGGCCTCTTGGGCGCCTGTTGGGGAATCCTGGGGCCTTCTGGGCGCCTCTTGGGGCCCTCTTGAAGCGCTCTTGGGAGCCTTGGGAGCGCTCTTGGAGCCCCCTTGGGCCATCTTGGAGCCATCTTGAGGCCTCGGCGAACAAGCCAAAAACATTGATTATCCTGAGGTTTTGGAAGGATTTTGGCCTCTTCGCCTGGGGGAGCTCTTTGGCCACTTGGAGCCGTCTTGGAGCGGTCTTGGGGCCTCTTGGAGCATCGTGGGAGCCTTTTTTTGCAGGCATCTTGGTGTATCTTGAGCCATCTTGGAGGTCATCTTGGGTTCTCCCAGGCGCTCTTGGAGGCATCTGAAGCAGTGCGCCCCCCCCCCAGGAGGCCAAAATGTGGCCCAAACCTTTTGTAGAATCAATGATTTTGGCATGGTCGCCCAGCCCTCTTGGAGCGTCTTGGGTGCCTCTAGGGGCCTCTCAGGGGCCTCTTGGGGCCTCCTGGCCACCTCTTGGGGCCCTCTTGGGGCACCCTTGGGAGCCTTGGGAACGCTCGTGGGACCATCTCGGAGGAGATCGATCAAAGAAGGGGGGTCCTCAATTAGCGCCCCCCCCAAGAGGCCAAAATGGGGCCAACACCCCAGTAACACCAATGATTTGGGCTTCCTCGCCGAGGCCGTTTTGGACGCTCGGACACCTCGCGGTCCGACCCGTCCAAGTCCAGGGGAGGGGGTTAGGGGGAGGGGTCAAGACGCCCTCCCCGCCCGCAAGCCGTCTCGCTCACTCCCACCCGCCCTCCCAACACATACGTAGCACCCGAGTCTGGCCCGAGCCTCAGCATGTTCAGCAGTCCTCGTTGGATGGGCAGCTACTGGGGGCCAATCCGCCGCCGCCGCCGCCGCCTCCGCCACCGCCTCCGCCGCCGTTGCCGCCGCCGCCGCAGCCGCCGCCGCCGCCGCCGCCGCCGCTGCCCGCCGCTGCCGCTTCCGCGCCCCGCCGCCGCCGCCGCCGTCGCCGCCGCTTCCACGCCACCGCCGCCGCCGCCGCCGCCGCCGCCGCCACAGCCGCCGCCACAGCCGCCGCAGCCGCCGCCGCCGCCAAGTGTACTCTGTATTGTTTTTGACAGGACTGGTAGGGTGAGGCCGCACCGGGTTGGTTGCGCATGCTCCAAATTTGGAGGCAGAGTGTGTTTCGTATGGTTTTTTTAGAAGGGATGGTGGGGTGGTGCCCGCATTGTCCCTGGTTGGCTCCCAGTCGCCTGGGGGAGGGGGTGTTTATTAATAGGGAAAAGTGATCGACCCTTCCCCGAAGGGGAATAAAGAGGGTTGAAAGAGGAGCCGCCCTAAACCACCTACGCCCGGAGGGCTGGCGGGTTTTTCGACATCTGGGGGCCCTCACAAGGCCTCGGGACCGTCAAAAAACAGCCCAGGATGAAAAACTGGTCCCGGGGAAGGGGTCCAGACCTCTGGGGCTCGACGTCATGAACAAATCATGATGTCGGGGGTATGGGTTTGGAGGAGGACAAGGTACCCATACCTCTAGCCTTCCTTCGTTTTTCCCTTTTTGGGCCTCCTGGGTAGCCCTCGTCGCCACCGCTGGATCCGCTTCGAAATCCTGGTCAGAGCGCGCCCTGGGACAGGTCAGGGGAGTAGCGGTATCGGTACCTTTTGGTTTCCCCAGAAGAGATGCGCCTGGCTTGCTTTACCAGCACGCCTGTCGGTACCACGACGAGGCGTTATCTGCTAGGAATAGGCAGTGGAGTGGAGGGAGGGAGGGAGGCAGGGAGGACGGAGGAGGAGCAGGAAGAAAGTATGATCGACGAATGAAAGATGAAGAAAGTATGATCGACGAGGGAGGACGGAGGGGGATGACGAGGTGGAAGGTGGAAGAGCTGGAGGGAGGAGGGGGACGGCGACGAGCTTCGAGAGGCGCCACAATGCAACATCAGGGTTGTTGACGGCGTGGCGGGGGACCGGGTCTATCTCAGCACGAACGAGAGCGGAACCCACGCCGACTGTTGGTCGCCGGGGCCACAAAAGCCGCTCGCCTCCTTCCACCAACATACATCTGATGACCACAACTGGGGTCTCAGGCCGCTGGGATCCGCCTGCAGCCTGGCTTGAAGCTAACGGAGGCATGCGCAGAACCTCCAGACTCAGTTCTCCGTCCTCCTGTTATGCCCCTGTCCACTGTCTTCATCCTCTCGCTCCCCGCCGCCCTCCCATCCTCCCCTCCGCCGCTCTCCTCGCCCTGGGCCCCTCACGCCCCACTCCCCCTCGTCCTCCTGGTTTGGCTCTGCCCCCCAAAGCCTGGCTCTTCCCATGATGCCCCCTCCCATCCCGGGGCCCTCGGACAAGCCTGGGCAGGGCCTTCTGGCCCCTCTAGGTCCTGCGACGACGAGAGTATGCGACAGCGTTGGACACTGACCAAAGGTCGGAGGCGAGGGAGCGGGGTAAGTGAGAAGGAGAATGCCCTCTCAGAAGGCAGCGGGGCTTCTCAGAAGCCCTCCGGCCTTTGAGAGAAGTTTGATGTGCATTCGGGGACGGCGGGGGAAAGCTGCTCAGAAGGCTGGAGGACTTCCGAGCCCTCTGAGAAGGCCCGCCTCCTCTCACTTCCCCCCGGGCTTGCCGCCGAAAAGGGGGAACCGGTTCCAGTGGCACTTGGTACACCATCAGAGTGGTTGGTGGCGTCTCGGGGGAGCGCTCCTACCTCAGCTGCAACTACGACGGTTCGGCGGTCGACCTGTGGTCTTGCGACGACGGGAGTGGTAGGCAGAGGTGGACCTTGGCAAAGGCGGCTGGCGGCGGGTACAACATCAAAGTCCTCGGCGCTCTGGGCACGGGAAAGGGAGGTGGACGAAGAGGAGGAGGAGGAGGAGGAGAAGGCAGAGGATGAAGCCAGACCCCTTTTTGTCGTGAAAGAATCACGACGGAAGGCTTTTCGCTATTGTCACCTCCAGGGGGCCCTCGCTGAGCCTCGGGACCGTCAAAAAACAAGTCAGGATCAGAAACTGGTCCCTGGCAATGCGTCGAGACATCTGTGCTCGACGTCATGAACAAATCATGATGGAGGAGGGATGCGGAATGAGTGATGAGTGAGGAGGAAGGAGGAGGAGGAGGAGGAGGAGGAGGAGGAGGCGCAGGAGGAGGAAGAGGAGCATGGGAATCAGAAGAGGGCGGCCACTAATGGGGAAGGCGGGGAGGAATAGTGGGATGTTGAGGCGCAAGAGGAGGAGTAGGGAGGAGAAGGGAGTACCTGATCGTCTCCCCAGGCGGCGTGACCGATGGACGTGTTTACTTGAGCACAACTTGGGACGGTCGCAGTGTAAACCTATGGTACAGCGATGACGACAGTGGCAGACAACGTTGGACTATCGATGAAATGGAGGCGCCAGCACGTCTACCTCTTCCTGGCTGGTCCTTCCCTCCTCCCCTCCCTCCGCCTCTTCGTCCCTATCCAATTTCCCTGCCAGACTTTGACCAAGAGAGAACAACCCACCCCTCACCCACCAAGATGATTGTTTCCCAACCCTCCTGCGTTAGGTACTCGTTTCGAGTAGAGCACTGCGGTCGCACACCGCCCGCCTCCCTCTTCCTCCCATCCCTTCTACTTGCCTGCTACCGTGCCTCCTGTCTCGTCGTCCTGCCTGGATGCAGGGTGGGGGCTGCGATCTGCAAAACTGTTGCCGCTTTCGAGGGCTGCTGGGGGGTCCAGCTCGGTGACGTGCTACGCAGACTCAAAGTAAACCTCACCATCCCTGTGGGACTGCGATCTCTTCGAAATTGTCGCCTCTTTCGAGGGCTGCTGGGTGGTCCAGCGAAGTGACGTGCTACGCAGACTTAGGTCAGACCTCGCCATCCCTGTGGGGCTGCGATCTGCGAAAGAGCGGCTTTTGCCCCGACAGCTGGGGCCGCAACGTATCAAGGAGGCGGGTTGCGCGAAGGTGGCGCGCAGGTTGATGGCGACCAGGCTCGTGGACTTCCACGGCTCGGCGGAGCGTTCAGTCGGCCTGCTCTTCGCGAAGAAGAAGAAGAAGGTCAATCATCATAATCATAACACTAATAATCATAATAATAGCAATGATAATAATGACAATGATAATACTCAGAAGAATAAACAGCAATAAGAAGAGAAAAAGAAGGAGTCAAACAAGAAGAATAATGGGTCGCTTCGCATGACTTTGGACGGCCGCCACGCCTCCCTCCGCTCCGGCGCTGCGGCCTCCGTGGAGCTGGCGACCAGCGCAGCCTCCTCGCAGATCTCCGTCGACGGCCACCAGCCCGCCGCCCTCGGCGGCGGGGGCATCTCGGACGCCTCCTGCCAGCTCGGGGCGCCGCCGTGGCTCGGGCGCCACTTCGGCCTGCCGCGGCGCCGCGCTGGCGACGCGGGGCTGGACCGCCTCACCGGCGGGGCGCCGGCCCAGGCGTCGGCCCGGGCAGTGCCGCGCTTCCGGTGCCCGCCCACGGGCTGGGGCAGCGGCCCGAGGGGCTGCCAGAGTCTCGGCGAGGCGGTCGCCGCTCGCGCCCGCCCTGGCCATTTTTTGGTGGCCGGCGCCCGGCTGTGGGCCGCCGCGCCCTGCCCCCTCCGTCGCTGTCGGAGGGCCTGGCGCACGCCGTGCGCGTCGACGCCCGCCCTGGCCATTTTTTTGTGGCCGGCGCCCGGCTGTGGGCCGCCCCGCCCTGCCCTCTTCGCTGTCGGAGGGCCTGGCGCACGCCGTGCGCGTCGGCGGTTTCGTCGCCGGCCGCCGGGGCGAGGTGCGGGGTGCCGCCTCGCGGGTGCAGGATCAGGGCGTCCCCCTACAGGGGGTCTTTGGGCGAAAAATAAGCAAAAAGTCCCCCCAAAATGCCCCCCCAATGGGCGGGTACGCCACGGCGCCAGCCCCTCGGGGTCCGTGGGTGCCGAGACCACGCCTTAGCATGGGATGTGCATTCATGCTTTTCCTTCTTATCCTCCTCTCCCCTCCCTCCTTCCGCCCCCGTTCTTATCCTCCTCTCCGTCCTCCTCCTCCTCCTCCTCCTCCTCCTCCTCCTCCTCCTCCTCCTCCTCCTCCTCCTCTCTCCTCCTCCTCCTCCTCCTTCCTCCTCCTCCTCCTCCGTCTCCTCCTCCGCATCTTTCTCCTCCTCCCCTCCCCCTCCTCCTCCTCCTCCTCCCTCCTCCTCCTCCTCCTCCTCCTCCTCTTCATCTTCCTCCTCCTCCCCTCCTCCTCTTGCTTTCCCCGATCTGTGCTCCATCCATGGCAACGAGAGCGTGAAAAACTGATCCTTTACGCCTGCGAGCGGCCTTTCGCCTTTCGGCCAATCCGTTCTTTTGGGAGCAGGTTGGAGCCGCTTGGGGCCCGTCTGGGAGCCTCAAGGGGCTCGTTCTGGCCTCCCGGGGGCCTCTCGGGGCCCTGCTGGGCCGTCCTCGGCGCCTCCTGGGCCGTCTTGGGGCCACCTTCGGTTGTCTGGGGTTTTGGGCCACTCTTGGGCCGTCTCGGGGCCATCTTGGGCTTTCTTGGGCCACTCTTGGGCTGACTTGGGCGCTTCTCGGACCGTCTGGAGCCGTCTTGGGGCCCTGTTCGCAGCCTCTTGGCCCGCCTTGGGTTGATTCTCGGGGCCTCGGGAGCAGAGTGCCAAGAATGTCAGGTTCCCTCCAGGAATCTCACAATGTTTGCCCGCTGGGGCTCTCGTGGGGGTCCCTCTTGAAGCCCCCGGGCGGCGCACAGCCGAGACCCACGCCCCGAAGCACCCGGCTTTCCTCCTGGGTGCCCGGGGCTTTCTGGGTTTCGATGGTTTCGCCATGCAGAGCGTGGCGCTCCCGCGCCAAAAATCGAGGGACGTCCTAGGGTCGCACGGCTTCAGGAGGGGAAATAACACCACTGACACAATGAATCGTCGATGCCCCAGAAAATATGGAACATCAGGGAAGTGGGGGGGAAGACGACAGTTCAACAAATATGGACAAAAATCAAGGGAACCATAGGATTTGTGTCTTCATGTGTGTGTGTGTGTGTCCGTAGGCCCCCATCACGGTTGGGTTTCTCGTGGAAGCTCTCTTGTGGATTGGTCTGCGCTGTATCTTGAAACCGTCGCAGGCCGTCCAGGGGCATCTTTGAGGTGGCCGGGGCCGCCAGCATTTGTGACTACACACCCCTAACATAGGTCATGGTAATGAATGAACGCGCATTCTTAAAACAAGTTCGTGAAACACCTGGGTTACTAAAGCGAGAAACGGAATCATTCTATTGCGCCGCCTGATCAAGACAAGACGCAACATCATTTAGTAAACGCAGAAGCCGGTTTACTAAATTCAAGACGGCTGTTCTAAATATGGGGCCGTTTTTCTAAATCCCAATCCCGGATCCTATCAGGACAATGATTTGAGTGGCTCGATCACCCTCCCCACCAAACAGGGGAGAGGTTTGGGGAGGGGCAACAATCTCACACGCCGTACAGTGGAGGCCCATGCCAAGGAACACCCTGCTTGCCTCCAGGGTGCCCCTGGTTCCTTGAGTTTCGACTGTTTCGCGATGGAACGCGGGACGCTCCCACGCCAAAAGTCGATGGACGCCCTGGGGTCTCAGGGCCGGGTTTCTCGTGGAAGGTCTCTCGTGGCCGGGCCCCTACTGCAGAGGCCAAGGGGCCGGCGAACATGGCTGTACTGTTACAGCGGGCTGTGAAACGCACAGAGCACAGATCTCGGAGGGCACCAACTATACACCAACACCGATCCTGGCCCAGGATCACCCTGGGCCCAGGATCGGTGTATATGCCTTCTTGCGCAAGGCAGGAGGGCGTATACACCGATCCTGGGCCCAGGGTGATCCTTGGCCAGGATCGGTGTTGGTGTATAGTTGGTGCCTTCCTAAGATCTGCCCCGATCTCGGGCGCGCCAGCCGGGCTGCGCCGGGGCCGCCCTGCGAGGGCCCCCAAGGCGGCCCCGGAGTGCCCCCAACAAGAGGGCCCCAGGACGGGTCAATGGGGGCTCCAAGAGGCCTTTCTCAGGAGGGAAAGAAACACACAGACACAATTAATCGTCGATTCCCCAGAAAATATAGGAAAACATGGGAAGTGGGGGGGAAGACAGAAACCCAGAACATATGGTAAAATATGGGGCATCTTTTTATTTGTGTGTATTTATTTGTGTGTCCTGGGGCCCCTTGACTTTCGGACGGTCCAAGGTCGGCACGAGCGAAATGGGTACGGAAAGACGGGGTACAATGCCCAACAGCAGTTCCTGTTCATTTTGAGCAGGACTCGCTGTCGGTGTCGCCGCGGCCTGTGTCCATTTAAGACAGAAGGCCGCCTGCCCAACAGCGGCCGCTGTTAGTTTGGGACAACAGTTGTTGTTGGGCATTGCACCCATTCTTTCCGTACCCATTTCGGGCGTCCAAACAAGGGGGCCAAGAGTCGCCGAGCGATTGGCCTAAGACGCTCCAGACCGCCTCCAGAAGGCTCAAGAGGCCTCCACCACGCCCCAAGAGGCGTCCAAGAGCCTTCCCAGGAGCTTAAGAGGCAAACATCGCCCCATCCCTAATGGGACACATTCATTTTTAGCATCTGCTACCTTTAGGCCTTCACGGCGTCCAAGGCGGTCCCAGAGGCCTCTTATATCAACCCAAGAGGGCTCAGAAGGCCCTCCCAAGAGGGCCCCGAAGCACCCCAAGAGGGCCCCAAGACGGCGCAATCAGCACCAAGACGGCCCAAGAGGGCCTTCAGAGGGTTCCAAGAGGGGGAACTCGAATTGTGATTTTGAGCCCTCCTCCCAAAGTGCCCCCCGAGACCGCCAGCGGGCCCCCGAGAGGCCCCAAAGGGGCCTCCTGACAGGCCCCCGACCTCGAAACTCACGGGCGACCACACGCCACAGCCGTCCCAGCCCGATCCTTTACCGAACCGAAGCACCAATTAACACGGCGACGGTTGGAATGCCTACACACATGTATAATATATATATATATATATGTATATATATATATAACAAATGTTGTATACAGACTCATATCTATAGACACACATATATCTATATATATATATATATATATATATATATGCATCCCAGGCCTGCGACCTGGTGACAGGAGGACCTGGAGGCGCAGCCAGCTTCGAACATAAACCGCTGCAATGTCAGCGTGGTGCGTCGCTGTGCGTCGGGGGAGTCCGGCGTGACCCTGACGCGAGGGTGGCGCGGGGTTGTCGTGACTCGGGCGATCGCAAACATGGATCAAGGGGGCGTGGATTAGTGACGGGTCCCGTTTCCATGGGATATCGCCGATTGCCGCCGCCAAGAGAGGCGGCACCGGTCGCGTTTTGGGGAGGGCACCTCCCCCGATCCATGATTTTGGCGACCGCGGGCCAAATCCATGGATCGCTAATCCATGTTTGCGCGCCCCCGATCGTGAGCTGGCGTGCGTGGGGGGTTCGCTCACGCGGTCTCGGCCATGCGTTGCATTGAGCGTACGCGGTGTTTCCGTATCGATGTTGCGCGTCCACGCTCCAAGTGGACGCGCTTTGACGCACGACCCCGCTGCTGAGCCTCCTCGTGAGGCGCCAAATCATGGGGATGAGGACATGGTGCGGACCACTTGTGGAATTGGCCGGTTCTGTGTTCGCCCAGGCTGCCCCCCTTCTCCTTCCCCCTCTCTGCGCAATTCAAGCTCTGCGCGGCCCGCTTCGCTTCGACCGGAAGAAGTGCGCTCTCGACCCACGAATCAAGAAGCCGTGTTCGCCCAGGTTGCAGGGCCGAGTCTTCTATGATTCAGGAGGGAAAGAAACACACAGACACAATTAATCGCCGACTCCCAGGAAAATATTGGAAAATATGGGAATTGGGGGGGAAGACACAAACGCAGAAAATATGGGAAAATATGGGGACTATTTTTATTTGTGTGTATTTATTTGTGTGTCCCAGTTTCCCTTTAATGATTCCCGCACGGCGCCCCGCCGCTCGATCGGCGCTCCGCCAGGGCCTCCGATGGGGTCGCGCGGGCGTCGCGGGACCGACAGGGTTTCGGGACTTCCACCTGCTAGCATTCAGTGCAGTGATCGGGCCCCCCAGGTATCTCACCACCCACCAAACCACCCAAACCCAACCCGAAGGCTCAGATTTACCCTCGATTTCCAGTGGGGGGGTCGGGGAACATCGAAAAAACACATGTGGAACCCTTACCCCCCCCAACCCGAAATTCGGGTCTTCGGGTTGTGTTGGGGTGGTCTGGTAGGTGGTCAGTATCTTCGGATTCATGGACGCATGCAAGGCCTACAGACAACGTGTTCGGAGTCGCCTAGAACCTCAGCGCGTCGTTCTAGTGTGCATCTTTCTATAAATATATACATATATGTATACATATATCTGTATATATATATATACAAGACTGCAGTGGCGCTTCGTGCCATGCACCTTGGTCCTTGAAGTTTGGTATGCAGGCGGACTAGCGGGAAGGTCAAGCCGACAATTTAGCGATAACTCCTTTTCCGGCATCGCCGCTATGATAACGCTATTCGTTATCTTTCCTCCATGCTTCTTATTCCTAATCTTCGCCATGCCTTGCGCATTCTCCCCATCCTCTTCAGCTCTTTTTGCGGAGGCTCCTCCTTGGAGAGCCTCTGGGGGCCTCATGGGCGTGTTCTGGAGGCTTTCTTAAGGCCTTCTGGAGGCCTCCTGGGCGTGTTCTGGGGATTTCTGGGGGTTTGTCGGGCCACCCTGCTTCCAACCGCGGTCTCCCTGAACGACTGGGTCACGATTTGGAATGCTTCGGAGGGTGTCTTAGGGCCATCTTGGGCCGCCATGGGGCTCCCTGAGGGCCATCTTGGACCCCTGTTGTGCCGTTTTGGGGCTGTCTTGGACTGCCTGGAAGCCCTTTCGGATGGTTGCGGGGCAATTTTGGAGCCTCCCAGGCGGCTTCTGACGCCCAGAAGACAGCCGTCTTGGAGCGTCGGGAAGCCGAAAAGAGGAGAACCCCAAAATAAGCCATAAACCAACAAAATCAAGGATTTTCGCCTCTTGGGGCCTTCTTGGGAGTGCTCTTGGAGGCCTCTTGGGACGTTTCGGGACGATTTTTAGGGATATGACGGCTTCTTGGGGGTCGTCGTCGACTGTATTGGGGCTCTCTGGGGTCGTTTCGGGAGCGCGCCACGTCCTGCGAGGCCCTGGGGGCCGCTTCGAGGCCCGTCCGGAGGGTCCCTACGCCCCAGATCCCGGGAGTCCGTCTTTTTTTTGGGGGGGGGACGGGTTTTCCCCCCACCCGGGCTTGTAAAAATATAGAAAAAGGAATACATACACAATGGCCTTCGGCCCGTGACACCACCGTGCTTGGGCTGTAGGTCTGGGGAGCACTCCACTTCGTGCCTCGAGACAAGTTAGCGGGTATGCACGTGCACGCGTACATGTGTACACAGCTGTTTTTTGTCTATGTAGATTCCGCGTTGGCACAGCCGCTTCGATAGCTCAAGAAGGGAGCCAACACTGACCTCACACGTGGAACCCACGCTGTAACTAACAAAAGAACCTCCACCCACGGGCCCCACGAGACCCCCGAGGCGCCCCCCCCGTCGAAGGCCGCCGCCAGCCGCCGACTGCCTTGCCCTCGCCCTCCTCCTCCTCCTCCTCCTCCTCCTCCTCCTCCTCCTCCTCCTCCTCCTCCCCTTCATACCCCCTCTCCTCATCCGATTCATCGTCCTCGTCCTCCTCCTCCTCCCTCCTCCTCCTCCTCCCTCCTCCTCCTCCTCCTCCTCCTCCTCCTCCTCCTCCTCCTCCTCCTCCTCCTCCTCCTCCTCCCTTCCTCCTTCCCCTGTTTTGTCTTCTCCTTCCCCCCTTCGTCGTCATCCTGATGCCGTCCTGCTCCTCCTCCTCCTCCTCCTCTTGGCCTCCTCCTCCTCCTCCTCCTCCTCCTCCTCCTCCTCCTCCCCCTCCCCTTGCGAGACTCAAGAGCAGACCAAAGCCCAGAATTGAGATTGACGGCGAGAGCGACGACGACGGCGGGTACGACGACACCGACGACGACGATGAGGACTAGGACGAGGACGACAGCGGCAGCGCCAACGGCGACAGCGACGACGACGAAGACGAGCACCACCACGACAACAACCACTGCGACTACAACGATGACCACGCCGACGACGGCGACGCCGGCGACGGCGACGGCGACGACCACCACGACGGCGACCACCACGACGACGACGCGGACGACGGCGGCTACGACGACGACGGCGACGACGCCGATGACAACTGTGACGACAGCGGCGGAGCGACGACGGAGACGACGACGACGACGACGACGACGACGACGACGACGACGACGACGGCGACGGCCACCACCGCGGCAGCAACGGCTGCAGCGGCGACGACGAGAACGGCGACGACGGCGAGGACGACGGCCGTGGCGGCGACGACGAAGAGGATGGCGAGCACAACCAGGACGACGCTCCCCCACGACGATGACTACGATGGCAATCCTCGGCGGCGGCGGCGCTGACGACGCCAACGAGCACCACCACCACGAGGCAGCACCACCGCACAACAGCGACGGCAGCAGCATAGTCGGCAATGTCAATTCGTCCGCTGTCAATTCGTCCAGTGACAATTCGTCCAGTGTCAACTCGTCCGGTGACAATTCGTCCAGTGCCAAAGTGTTAGGTCGTCCAGTGTCAATTTGTCTGGTTCCAATTCATCTGATGTGAATCTGGCTCCTGTCCGTTCGTCCGGTGTCAATTCGTCCGGTGTCAATTCGTTTGGTGTAAATTCGTGGAGTGTCAATTCGTTCGGTGTCAACTCGTCTGGTGTCAATTCGTCGGGTGGAAATTCGTTGCCGTCCCCAAAGCAAACCAATCAACCACAGCGGCAGAAACGAGCACGGACGAAACGAATGCGGACGAAACGACAGCGGACGAAACGAACGAGGACGTAACGAACAGAGGCGAAATGAATGCCCAACGGTGGTAGGTTCACAACGCT